CATTTATCCAGTAAACTTTGCTTGAGAATCTACCATGTGCCAGGCAGGGTATTAGGTACTAGAGATCCAAAAGTAGATAAAACAGGTCCTTACCTTAAAAGTGGTCATTGTCTAATGGGAAAACAGACAGATAAGTAGATAATTATTTCATTGATGTGTTCCTATTATCAACAATATGAGCAGCTGCTATGTTCCATGTGTTCAGGTTAGATGCTGAGGATATAAACTAAAAATCTGCTCTTCGCCAAAAGGGTAATACTATCAAGGTAAAGCAAAGATAAATTTTTTAAAAAATAGTTTAAAAATCAGGAGGAAATAATCATTCTGAAATTATGTAGCAATGACATAGAGTTTGCCTGGGATAAACCTATGCCTTTGAAAATGGCGTGAAAGAACATGAAGAAGGCAGTCAGGAAGACAGAAAATGAGAAGGAAGATGAACGATCCCCCTGGTGAGTTAGCAGCCTGACAATGTCCCCATCTGGCTTTGAGGAAGCAGGCTAACTAAGGTCACTGTGTTCTCCTTAGAGATTTTTCCATGAGTTGCATTAATGCCACAAGATTAGCAGATTGTTTACATGACAATCAGTCCTGGGTATTGAGGATGGGAATGGAGGAAAACCGTGGTTAGTAGCTGAGTGTAAAATTTTCCTAACATAACTTCTGGGAAAAATACCAACTGCTTTTTGGATATATCCTTTTACCCATTTACTTTTATTACAACTCAGAACCACTTTTTATATTTACTTAGCTTTGGGGTTTATAGTGACTTCTAGTTATTTCACTTGAGTAACATTCTTGATTAGTATACACATGAGCCCTGTATTTTCTCTAAAACAATGCCAAGTTCGGCTTTCCCCTCAGCAAGGGGAAACTTAATCAACATTTTGTTAATTTCTAGAATTGTTTCAATTTGCCCTTTTTGGGGGTTTCTACCTGCCCAGAGAAAATGGGAAATGTTCATAGATAAAGAATACAGTAAATGAGATATAAAATTAACAGGGAACTAATCCAGTTCTCGGGATGATTCAGGAAATCTAGACAGTTTGGGAAACTATTGTGCCAGGTTGTATGTGAAATATTAACCCACGTATAAAGGGGAAGGGAAGTCACGAGATAGCCTTGCAATCCCTTTGTTTACCCTATAGCTCCCACTACTTCTTTCAACTAATCTTGGCCTCTGCTGCCCCCAGAAAAACTAAACCACATTCAAAATGCAAGTAGGAACCCAAAAAAAGGTTAAATTTTAGCTTGTAAGCTTACAGAGCTGAGCTCCTTACATAAGCAATAGATTTGAAAGACTAGTTAAGCAGCCATCTCTTCCATTCCTCTCCCAGCCCCAATGGGAAGAGCAAATAAAACCTTTGTGGATTGTAGGGGGCAAGAGTTTGGAAAAAAAGTAAGAGAATTAGAAATGATATGACAGTCCTGTTCTTTGCCCATCCCACACAAGAACTTCTGGGATGAAAGGGAAGTGGTTCTCCCTTTAAGCTTAAGGATCTGAGACAGACCCCAATGAGAAGCCAGCAGCCCTGCCGGCCCTCTGCCACAGAGAAGAATGGTGGACTGCATGACAGGACTAGAAAGAGCCCTGAGTTTCCTCCCAGTCTCTGAGTGACACAGCAGAGTGTGTGAAATTCCATGCCCCAGATTCCAAGAGAGACACAGAAGCTGGCAGGCAGAGAGAACTACAGCCCTGACGGTCCCACCATATAGTCAGCAGAATTCTGGGATAGTCCTGAGATTCCCATTTGCTTGTGTCTGCCTTGTATATTCCTCTCTGCATGAGTGAGTATGGTATTTGTGAATATGCTAAAGTTTGACAACTGTGATCAGATCATCTTATGACAAAGGTGAAGGGAATTTGAAGATGTAATGAAGGTGCCTAGTGGGGTAAAGGGGGTCAAATATGTGGTGACAGAGAGAAATCTAACTATGGGAGGTGAACACACAATGTAAATACATATATGCCTTACTATTAAAGTGTACAGCTGAAGCTTAATGGATTTCATTAACCAATGTCACCATAAAATAATTAACTAATTGATTGATTGATTAATTAAGGTGCCTTATCTGCTGACTTTGAGTTAATCAAGAGATTATCCTAAGTGGACCTACCCAATCAGGTGAGCCCTTTAAAAGGTCTTTCCTGTAGGAAGAGATTGGAAGTGAAAGAGATTTTCCTGTTGGCCCTGAAGAAGCAAACACTCAAGCTGTGCGGAGAGCCTATGAGAGGGCCACATAGCAAGCAACTGAGGGTGGCACTAGAAGCTGAGAGTGGTTCCTGACTGACAGTTGATAAGAAAACGAGGACCCCAGTCATATAACAAGGAAATGAATTCTGCCAGCAGCCTGAATGATCTTAGAAGCAGATGCTTCACCAGAACCTTCAGCTGCAAATATGACCTGTCCAACTCCTTGATTTCAGCCTTGGAAGACACTGAGCAGTGGGCCCAGCTAAACTGCTGACCCACAGAAATTGTGAAATAACATATAAGTGTTGTTTTACACCACAGGTTTGTAATTATTTGTTGTGCAACAAAATAAAAAAAACTAATTCACATAGCCAGGAATGAGAGGATACAGGATTAGACCATGAGGCTAAGGACTGGACGGGAAATGGGTAACAACTCTGTGAATGCCAGCATGGATAGGGACACTGAAGGCTCAGCAAGATAAGCACTTCCTCAGGGGACAGCAGCAAAGACCTAGATGTGTTTAAGTGAGACACAGAAATATGCTGCCTACTTGGGATGTCATTTGTACCTCTCCGCAAGCCAAGCTTAACAGCAACCCCAGCAGCAAAAAGTCGTGACAGTACTGAAAATCCTAAATTTGACTCAGTTTTGAACCTGAAATGTGTAAGAAAAATGTCAGCAGTGCCTGAGTTTATTTCTAAATAGTTGGATTAAGTTTTTTGTCTCAGACAAAATAGAAGTTCTGGCTAGAAATGTTCAGTTGCACTGGGGAGAGAGGTTTCATTTTTACACAGTCCAGTGTGGCATGTGAAATCTATTTCCACCCCCACAGTCTTTAGTTGTATCAATAGGCAGGATCATCCTAGAGAAACACAGAGACAGGATATAAATAGCCTCTTCTCTCCAACATAGTTAACCTTGAGGAAATCAGTTTAAAATGAACATCAAATGTGTCTTAAGAAGTTGTCTCAGAGACTTCCAGGGTAAAAAAGAGCAAAATAAAGCCAGAACGCAGACCCTCGCTCACTCCAAACCTAACAAAATGAACACCAGATGAATGTTAAAGCCAGCAGCACTCAAAGGGAGGGACATAACTGCACAGTAACATTTGAAATAGTGACTAGACAAAGAAGATTCCAGGAATCAAGATATATTGCCTCCCCCTCCAGTCTCTCCCACCCTCACCCATCCCCCACCCCTACTCAAGTAATCCGTAGGACAAAGGGTGAAGTGACAACATTCTGGAAAAAGTTCACTAATTTCTTCAATGAGGCAAGAAATAAACAGAGAGGGAAAACAACAGCCAAGGGATACCCTGGAGAATCTTCTTCACTATAAACTCACCATTTTGTTCTCTCTAGCCAAAAGTAAGCAAGTAAATGAAGATTTTACCCAAAATATATAAATAACATCAAGCAAGGTAAACAATGCAATAGAAAGATGGGTAAAATCCACAAACAAATGTCTCAAAAGAGAGGAAACAAAAATTATAAACATGTAAAAAGAAGTTCAACCTCAGAGTAATCAGCAAAATGGTTTAACACCACAATGAGATTTTTTTACATGCGACAAATTGGAAAGCATTAAAAAGCAGGGCAATAACAAGTGTGGGTGAAGACATAAAGGAGTGGGGATTAACATAAACTGCCAGCTAGTGTATAAATTATAAGCCTCGGAAAGCAATTCATCATTGTTTTGGGTTGGAGGATCTGATATCACATTTAGCTGTGCTGCCCTAAGGCTGTGAGTTTTGAGTGGAGCCCAGAGCTAAAGAAGTCACTGCAGCAGCCACTATGGAAATCAGTGTGGAAGGAAGTTCCTCAAAGAATCAAAATCAGAACTGTCATATGATTTAACAATTTCACTTCTGGGTATTTATCCAAAGAAAACAAAAACACTAACCTGAAAAAATATGTGCTCCCCCATGTTTATTGCAGCACTATTTACAACAGCTTAGATATGGGAGCAATCTCATCCCTCGTCCATTGATGAATGATGAGTGGATAAAGAAAATGTCATTCATTCATATGTGTGTGTGTGTGTGTGTATACATATGTACATATGTATATATGTTATATATACTGTGTGTGTGTGTGTATATACACACACATATAATTCCATGGTGTATATATATGTGTATACATATGGGCATTATGCTAAGTGGAATAAGTCAGACAGAGAAAGACAAATCGTGCATGATCTCACTTATATACTGAAAATAAAAAACAAAAACAAACTCATTGATACAAAGAACAGAGTTGCCAGAGGTGGGGCTGGGGTGGAGGAAATGGATAAAGGTGATCAAAAGATACAAACTTCCAGTTATAAGATAGATAAATCCTGGAGATGTAATGTACAGCATGGTGACTACAGTTAAAAAAGAAAGAAAAAAGAAGTCTCAAGAGGTCCAAGCTTTGACTTACTTCACCCTTCCACTCCATGCTCATGATCAGTAGATTTAGGGGAACTCCAGGTATTTGTGGTAAGCCCTAATAAAAGAATTATAGCAAAGACCCCTAGAGTCCTTCTCTGCTGATAACTACTCACCTTTTAAGCAATAGCTCCTAGCTTGCTGCTGGGCCCAGTTAAGACTAAATGCCTCCACAAGGCCCGCTGCTCATCATGAACCAGGTATAGATTCACTGTTTCAGTTATCTATTGCTGCATAACAAAGCACTCCAAAACACAGTGGCTTAAAACAACACGCCAGGTAACAGAGATCTCTTTGCAACGATCAGAAAGAAGAGATAGACTCAAATGGTGATTTTTAAATCTCCTGATGATTTTTAAATTACACTCGTAAGTTTTGTGCAGTGGCAGTATCGTAGCCAATGAGGTTTATCCGAGGCACGCTTATTGCTAATTAAATTACACTTGCAGATTTTAATAATTCCACCAGTGAGTACTTTCTACTTTACTATGGAAATAATTTCCAGGTTTTTATTGACTTAAATAGATATGTTTATGAACTGTAGAAATGGAGAATTGTAGGAACTATGGGAATGAACTGTAGTAAGGAGTAGGTAAAGTATTTCCTATATAATTCTCCACTTTCTCAGAATTATAATACTTGAGAAAATTTTAGAACACAATTATTCTGAAATCGTAAAGTAAATGCAAGTTAGTGTTGCTGTTTATTCTCAAGTGATTCCTTGCTAGGAAATCAACCTGACAAAACCTGGCTGCAGAGAAAGATGGTCAATACTTCTAATCTCTCCAGCATTACTGTCTCAGCTGCAACTTCCCCCAGACAATTAAGACACAGTTTCCTGAAAGTGCATTTTAAAGAAAAGAAGATGAATAGAATGACAATAGCCAGAACCCAACAAATGACTGATCTCCTGGCTCCCACAGACAAGCTATTCTCTTGAATACCAGTATCTAGAGACACATCATGCCACATCTGTGCAGCCAGATACTACCAGACAAGATGAGCAGAATAAACCAATTTAGACACCTTCTGAGCTCCCCCAACCAGCAACAACAACAAAAAATCTTTGGTGAGGAGATTTCCAGTTAATATTTAGAATACTTAGCCAAGTTTCAAAAATGTTCCCAAACACAGCAGTCCACTAGAATTTCCAGGGTAACAAGTAAGTAACTCACTGACATTTCGCCCACCCATATATTCAGCAGAAATTTTGTTTCTCTGTAGGTAAATCTTATCCTGCTCGAGCTACAAAATTTATGTCAGGAGCTATTTCAGATCAGTAGAGCTGTTTAAAACATTTCTGCTTCAAGTGAATAAAAATAGAATAAAATGAAAGTAAGAGCTTCCGCAAAAATATTGATTGAGGGGCTAAGTATTGGAGATAGGAAGGTAAACAAATGCAGATATGTATGGTTCCTGTCTCATGGGCTTACAGCTTAGTTGGGGGCTAGAGACAAACTTAGTTGTACGACTGTGATAAGTGCTCTGGAGTAGAGAGGTTCATGGTCTTCTGCAAGCCTGAAACACAGGAACTTGACTGAGTTAGTTGAATGGGGGACCCTCCCTGAGGTAGTGAAACTTGAGCTTAAATCTGAAGGATAAGGAGGAATTAGATAAAGAGTTGAAGAAGAATGTACTGGCCCAGGGAACAGCATATGTGAAGGGCCTGTGGTGGGAGGGAGCATGCAGTGTATGGGAGGCTCTGAGGTCAGTGTGATTGGACAGTAAGGAGAACATGTCCCCCGGTGGATCAGGAAGCATCTCTCTGTTCTTTGACCAGTATCCAACCCTTCAGAGAGCATCCCAATCTCATTACCTTGAATGAGAACACTTTGCATTGCTACATCTATATTAACTATCATCAAATTCCTTTGACCAAAGGTACTATCAGAATCAATCTCATTACCTTGCTTGCTTGGTTCCTTGGCTGGCCCCTTTAAGAACCTGAAATAGAGTGATTCGGAACTCATTTTTACTACTTGACCCACAACTTACCTTCTTATCCTTGCTATTGACTGGGAAATTGTTGGTTTCATTCTTGGCTCCGGTGTGGGTTTCTTAAATGCTTTGTCTCCCATCTCTCTTCCAGAATTATAAAATGGCGCTCTTTCCTTGTATCTCTCAGATCCCCGCACCCTTTCCCTGCTTAGCATCACTATGACAGCACTTACAGCATCATGATATAATTACAGGGCTCCCCTTCTTCACTATAAGCTCCCTATGGCTCTGTGCTTTGTTCACTTTAGCGAACTCAGTGCTTCGCATAGAGTATGGCCCATGGCAGTTTCTCAATCAATGTTTTTTGAATGAAGGACCTGGTTTCTTGGCTATAGCCCTGGATTGCACTTTTGAATTTTGCTTCCAACCACACTTTCTTCCCCAAGGTTAGAAGCTTTTACATAAACAGTGGCCTGGACGTCCCTTAGCAGCTCACCCCAACTGCAGAGTCTTCAGATCAAGGTACTGTGACATTCTGCTGCTTCCTCTTGACCACAGTCAGCCTTGTGCCACCCAGTAACCCTTTCCTCTATCCCAAGTGAGAAATAAATGTGACCTTGGACACAAAGGAACTAATTGAAAGAACATAAAAGAACCAGTGCAAATCTATCTCCACTATTTGAAATATCACTCTAAGTAGTGCTATATGATCTGCCAAAAGCCAAGTGACAGGCATTTTGCTATGTTTTACATCTCATTTAACCTTGTCACCTCTATGAGAAAGAGATTATCTCCATTCTACAGATGAGAAAAGTAAGATTCAAAACTTTATGTAACTAACGAAAGATGACATGAGCTCTACCTAATAATCTTGAAACAATGAAAACCATATCTTCAAAACTTAGGACACCAAAACTAAGAAAAGGGTAAGGCTTGGTAAATATAGAAAGGAAATTCTTTAGTCAAAGGAATTTGATGACAGTTAAGATAGATGTAGCAATGCAAAGTGTTCTAAGTCTGGACGAATTGGATTAATGATGGTATAACATATTAATGAATCAAAGTAAAATTTAAAATAATTAGGAAAATCACACTGGCCTTTATAAATAAGAATCTCTGATTTAAAAACAAAACAAAACAAAAACAACACTATTTGAACAAAGAGAACCACTACACAAGAACCAAGAGTTAATTATAAAATGTAATAGTTTTCCTGCTCTGCTTCTCAAGCACACAAACATTCTCATTAGTTGTTGTGAATATTAAATAACCCAGGCCAGAAGTTTCTAGCACACAAATAACTGCAACACAAAATGTTCTCCTACAATCAGATGACTGAGCAAGATTAATCAGAGAAAGCATTTTCGCTTTTAGATAATCTTCAAATACTTACCTAGAGAAAGTATTTAACTATTTCCTTGATCAACTGACAGATAATAGTAGACAAAATTTACATGGAGGTGGGGTGGGGATAATGTTTTAGAAAGAACCAGAGTTTTAATATATCGATCTGGGCTCCTAAATCTACTTTCAAGTTACCTCTGATTTGCCTCCCATCCCCAAAACCCCTTCCCAACTATCTGACTGCCTTGATTTATTGCTAATATGGGGGAAAAAAAAAAACAAAAAACCACTTACTCAAACATTCCAGCCACACTGACCTTTCGGTCCAGCAAATATGCCAGCTCTTTCCTATGTCAAAACCTTCACTGCATCTGCTTCAGTCTCCCCAGCACACCCCTTGCTCGGATGCTTCCGTGACCTTTGGGTCCCAGCCTGTGTTTCTTGGAGAGGTGCTTCTTCACCACTAAATGTAAAGCCATCTCCTACACTTTCCTCTCTTGCCTCACCTATCCCTTTTCCATTTGAGCTCTGGGCCGCTCTCTAAAAAGATACATTCCTGTGTGAGTTTACTTGCATAATTTTCTTCCACACTAACCCCATGAGGGTAGAAACCTTGCTATTTTGTTCATTGCTGTTTATCCAAGATCCAGCATAGTGTCCAGCAGTTAGTAGGACCTCAAAAATATTTCAGTGGAATATTGTAGTGGATATGCAAGTGTCACATTGAGGGGACTCATTTGGGCTAGAGATTTAAATTTAGTAGTCATTAGTATATTGATAGTATCTAAAGCCATGAGGCTTACATTACAAAAATGTTCCTGAAATGTGTATAAAATATTTGTTTTTGTAAATTGCCTATTTTAAAGCCAAGTGGAGAGCTTGTTATATTCCAGGCTGTTGTGAATCATTTTGTAAAGAAAATTACATTATATTTTATCTTTTGAATAAATCTCTTGGTCCTGTGTTAGAATTACTTCATATCAAGTACAGTTATATCAGGTGAATAAAGTTGTAGCTAAATCCAAGTGTGTGTATGTGTGTGTATGTGCACAGAATCAAAATGCATAATATCCCTATGTCTTTTACAAAGTAAGTCCTCTATCAAAAAAAAAGGAAAAACAAAAGCAAAATACTATCCTCAAACACACCTTTTCTATTACATCGTGACTGACTCTGAACAAACCATCTTTTTCCAGTTCTGTACAGTGAGTTTCAATTAAGGTAGATTTTATTTAAGTCAAATAGTTTCAGAAGTCTCACTTCACTTCATGTTTCCCAATCTTTATCTTATTTGATAAAATCTTAGTAATTCTGATCATAATAACTGACCTTAATCCACATGTGACTTCTTTAGGTGGTGCTTTACATACTTTGAAGCTAAGGCTTGGGGTGTTTTAAAATTAATTTTGTGACTATATCAGAAAACTTAATGTTTATCCATGTTCCATTCATTCTTTTCCAAAGGCACCTTTTTCAAAGGAAACTTTATGTAGAGTTTAGGTTGTGCAACCATGACTGCCACTTTTCAATATATTGTTTACTGTTTTAGAACCATCTGATTCACTCACAAGAAGATTTCATGAAACCTTTGCCCCTTATCCCTCTATCCAATCTGTCACTAGTTCCTGAGATTTTACTTCCTAAATATCCCTTGAATCCATTCCCTCCATTCCATCTTTTCCATTACCACCATGGCACCATCTTCTTCTGGCTGGAGAGTACTGCAATAGCTGTCGACTGGTCTACCTACAGCCACCGTGGCCCTCTCAATCCACTCTCCACAGCCAGAATGTTCTTTCCATGCTCTGCTTGGCCATGCCAGTCTGCCAATCTGCTTCTCACACATGCTCTCCCAGCTGTCCAATCACATTGACCTCAGAGCCTCCCACCACAGGCCCTTCACATATGCTGTTCCCTGGGCCAGTACATTTTTCTTCACCTCTTTGTCTAATTCCTCCTTATCCTTCAGATTTAAGCTCAAGTTTCACTACCTCAGGGAGGGTCCCCCATTCAACTAACTCAGTCAAATCCCTGTGTTTCAGGCTTGCAGAGGACCATGAACCTCTACTCCAGAGCACTCATCACAGTCATACAGCTAAGTTTGTCTCTCGCCCCCAACTAGGTCGTAAGCCCATGAGACAGGAACCATATACATCTGCATTTGTTTACCTTCCTATCTCCAATACTTAGCCCCTCAATCAATATTTTTGTGGGAGCTCATATTACTCTCGTTTT